TACTCAAAAGTGCCTCAAATACCATCTCCTGCGATCTACATTTTCAACATTTTCTGGGGTAGGACGCTCATACCCCCCTGCCTGTGTGTTCACCCCCTCCTCGTAATCCTGGATCCGCCACTGAACATATCTAGGGAGCAGAGAACAAAGAACACAAATGTCGTCTTTTTACATGGCGCCCAAAACAAAGATTGCAGAGCTGAGAGGCGGGGGAGCATAGGGTGTGGAGAGGGTAGCGGAGGAACCATTAAAATATTAAAGCCGCACTATGCGCATCCAAACGCTAATTTCTCCAGTACTAGACTAGAAAATACTTCGTGTCATGCATAATCACACTATACCTTATGACAAAATGAACTCTAGTTCCTCCCATTTCACTGCGCGTTGTCTTATAAAAGGCATTTGAAAATACCTTTAATGTTGTTCAAATTCTCCGATGTTGTTGACACTTTTGCGTTGCTCTGCCAAGCAACCGTGGAGCGGTGCTGTGGTACAGTGGTACGGATGTAGCAAAGATAAAAACATGTGACGTCACCTAACCGATTCTTGGCGAAATTGTTTGGCAAACAATTTATTGCCCTGTCACACATTGACGACTTAGCCAGCGTATGCCGGACGTATCAAAATTTTTCTAAAACGCTGGCATACGCTGAACTATCGATGTTTTTTTCAATTTTGGGCGTATACATAGCGTATTCATAACGAGTTGGACGTATACTTAACGTATTAGTAACGTATATAGAACGTTTCGATAGCTTATAGATAACTTATACCAACGAATGCTTAGCGTGTTGCCGGCGTTCACAACTTATGCCCAACGATAGTCTAACTTGTGCATAGCGCGCGGCAGCGTATCGTCGACGATCACGTGTCGTAGCCTACAAAAAGGCTGCCGCTCGACGATTCAAATCATAACCGCACTAGACATCGCAGTATCAACATCACCGTCGCAGTATCAACATGCCAATACCATTTTTATATACCAATTCCCCTAAACGCTGCCAATACGCCATTATACGGTAGCTGTAAGTTAGAAACACGTTCAGAAGTTCTGTGGTTGTCCGGAACATGTCAAATACGTCTACATACGTCAATATGCGTTGGAGATAAGTTACACATAGGTTCAAAGCACGTTACTCATAAGTTAGAAATAAGTTTTGGGTACGCTAGACATTATCTCGACGTATTTCGACTTATGAGTAACTTACAAGTAACGTGTGTGAACGTGTGTGAACGTGTGTCAACGATCGCATAACTTGCCTACAACTTATGGCCCGCGTATGCGGGACGTATGGGCATACGCTGGCATACGTCAGAAAAATTTTGAGCATGCTCAAAATTTTTCGATGACCTCGCCGTACTACGACGTATACCAGCGTGCTCTTAACTTATACAAAGCTTACCTATAACTTATTCGACGTACACCAGCGTATTCACCAAATTTTTGATACGTCCGGCATACGCTGGCTAAATCGTCAATGTGTGACAGGGCCATTAGCGTTGGCGCCAGATTACCAGTTTTCGCACCTCTTTCTTGTGGGTTTTAAGCAAACGCGCACTGAAATGGGAGGAACTAGAGTTTATTTTGCCATAAGGTAGTGTGATTATGCATGACACGAAGTATTTGCTAGTCTAGTATGGAGAAATTAGCGTTTGGATGCGCATAGTGCGGCTTTAAGTCATCCACTATTTTTCGCAGTTTGCTGTTTTTGCTCCCCCCCCCTCACCCCATGTTAAAGAATCCTCGCTACGCCACTGGAACCAACTTACTTCAGCCAGTCAGCGGAAACTATGCATTTCCGCACGTGGAGGGGTGGGCGGGTTGTGTTGGTTGTGGACAAAAACATTGTTGTTGTCAGGTAACAAATTAATAATAGTAATTTAATTGTTCATCTTTCATGACAAAACTAATATTACAATCTTTTTTGATCGCTTAATTTGTTACTTGACAACAACAATGTTTTTGTCCACAACCAACACAATCCGCCCACCCCTCCACGTGCGGAAATACATAGTTCCCGATGACTGGATCCACCAAAAATGACCGTTTGAAGTTCGTATAAATAATGTTCGTTTACAAGAAATACCGTGAGTAGACCATTTCAACGAT